CGCGCTAGCCTAAGGGCCACCTTAGCAAAGCGCATCCCAGGCTGCATAGCCGCACTACCCTACCCAACCATACCACACATAAACATGACACTACCCCCGGGGTTTACACAGACGAGCCGGCGAAGCAAGAAGAGCGCCAGAAGAAAGGGCCCTAGCCGGCGGGGCCCAGCCAGGACAAAAGGAGGTCCCACAAAGCGCCTACACCGGCCGCATTTGCGGTCGGGGTAGACGACGGATGGGGCCCACCTACGAAGGCTGTCCAGGCCTACACGAGATGAGGCAGGATAAAGAGGGATAATCCCCCTCGATCCCAAATCATTGAGGCCAATTTCTAGCCATGGAATAATGGCGCGGCGCGCGCGCGCGTGGCGCGGTGGACGCAAGTACAAAAAATACTCACAACACTTAACATTAACTACACAAAAGCCAAACTCACTAAAGACGGTATATCCATATACCCACACACCAAATGACCACAGACTAATGACAAAAACACTGACAGACAAATACGAGGAGTACCACACCTTCACCCTCAGCGAAGAAAAAACGTTGAGGGTGGTGATACGCGGAATACCTGCGGGTGTTTCGCTAAGTGAGATCCAACTCGACCTCGCACGACAAGGGTTCCCCGGCGCAATAGTGCACCGCATGGCGAGCCGTCAAAATAAACAGGAAATGCCCCTGGTCCTCGTTTCTTCTACATTTTGCGTTCCGCTGTGGATTTTCTCCTTTAAATTACTGAAAAAATACAAAAACTGTACAGCTAAACAGCTAACAAACAGACACAAGTTAAAGAAAAATAAGTGTGACGTAATTATGTAGCTCCCTAACAAAATATTCACAAAACTGAAAAGCGTAATAAATATATATACCTCCCTTGCTGTTTTTCCTCAAATTTTTTGTCAATGCCTCGAGACGTAACGGAGATTTCGTCACATTCATTATCTTTAACCTCCATTTCCATATATCCAATTTTTTCCTCTACCTCTAAACAGTGGCCTAGGAAACTATTATGTGCGTTGAGGGACTCAAAACAGCGTTTACATATAACGGGATCCTTAACGACAAAATATTTTCCTTCAAAAGATACTTTCACTTATAAACAATTTACAAGCTTGTTAAGGTCATACGTACCATTTCGGGAACGAATTTGTGAATAGTTTCAACCTCTTCTTCACATATATCTATAAATGTATGTCCCACTAGCTCCATACATAAACTGCACACTTTTTGATCGACTAACAAATTTATGGATTGCTTACTTCCACTTTCCTTCATATAAATGTCTCGCAGGTTTAGTTGCAACTCCTCGCAATCGATGTAAGGGAAAATAGTATCATCGGTAGCCAAACAAATTGATTTAAACTCTGACGCTAACTTTATTTTTTCGCTGCAGGAGGTACACATTAGGTGTTTTTTCCTGTCGTCTAATATCTGTAAAGGGTAAAATCTTATTTATTAATGAGACGAATGTGATACCTTCTATCTTACCAGTCTTGGCGAGAGAACATTTAGTATGTCTTTGGTAAAATCACCTATTATTTCACATTTTTCGTCTGTCTTAAGGCAGAGCCTACAAGAGTATTCGTCGAATGTCATTATTGAGAAATTTTTTCAAATATTCAATACGCAATTTATAAAAAACGCTGACAGCGTCTATAACAAGCGAGTTTGTAACCTAAAATGCCATTTTACTACTCTGCTTCTTCTTCTTGATAAAGAATATTATCACGTAACTTACCGCGCCATTATTCCATGGCTAGAAATTGGCCTCAATGATTTGGGATCGAGGGGGATTATCCCTCTTTATCCTGCCTCATCTCTTGTAGGCCTGGACAGCCTTCGTAGGTGGGCCCCATCCGTCGTCTACCCCGACCGCAAATGCGGCCGGTGTAGGCGCTTTGTGGGACCTCCTTTTGTCCTGGCTGGGCCCCGCCGGCTAGGGCCCTTTCTTCTGGCGCTCTTCTTGCTTCGCCGGCTCGTCTGTGTAAACCCCGGGGGTAGTGTCATGTTTATGTGTGGTATGGTTGGGTAGGGTAGTGCGGCTATGCAGCCTGGGATGCGCTTTGCTAAGGTGGCCCTTAGGCTAGCGCGGGAGGGGAGGGTTAAGGAGGGTATGGGGGGTGTGGGTGTGTGTGTGTGTGTGTGTGTGTCGTTGTCTTCGTTTCTTGATCCTGGCTGTCTCTGAAACAGAAAAGGTTAGCGGGCAGGGGGGGGGTCATTGGGGTGGTCACCCAGGGTCAAAAAGTTGGTGTCTAGGTCTTTTGTGTTTGTCGGTCACGTCGGGTACGTAGTCAACGGCTTGCCTGAGGAGGGGATTGTCATGTCTAGCGGCTACGTCAAATCGTTTCTCCGCGTTTTGTCTTATTGTCTGTGTAGCGTTTGTGTATTGTAAGTCTCGTAATATGTCAGTGTTTCTTACGTACCAGGGCGCGTCGGTGGCCGTGCGGAGGGCTATGTTTTCCACAGCCTGTAATGACTTTAAGTGGCTTTTTGCCGCGTGACCCCACGCCGTGGAGGCGTAGGTTAGCTGCGGTTGAAGTACCACCTTGATAAGCGTTCGCTTATTCCTTAAACTGAGGGTGTTTCCACCTTTGAGTAAGGGATAGAGCCTAGCCCTGGTGGTCTTCGCTCGCGCCACCGTCTCCACGATGTGCGGTTTCCACGTGAGACGCTGGTCCATCGTCACGCCCAGGTATCGTGTTTGTCGATTCCAGGAGATAGGTTCCTGGGATAGTGTCAGTCTGTCGAGGTTTTGTGGGATTTTTCGTTTGGTAAAAAGGATAGCCGAACTTTTGTTGGGATTAATTTTGACTTTCCACCTGTTGCACCAGGTTTCAAGTTGGTCTAAGGAGTTTTGGAGGAGGGAGACGGAATATCTAGGATCTACGGATTGGGATGTGATTGTCAGGTCGTCGGCGTATAAGTATATGTTGGTGTTGGGGGGATGTGGGATGTCGGAGTTGTAAATGGTGTATAGGTGTGGGGACAGGACGGTGCCCTGGGGGACACCGGCCTCCATGGGACGGGTGGTGGAAAGGGAATCTTGGATTTGGATGCGGAATTTTCGGTGGTGTAGGTAGGATTTTATGAGTTTGGTAAAGGATATGGGATATTGGTTGGTGAGCATTTTCATCAGTAGGCCTTCATGCCAAACCGTATCGAAGGCCTTTGCGACGTCCAGGAAGACAGCACCAGTGTACTGTCCCCTGTTGAAGGCCGCCGTGATGTGCTCGGTAAGGCGAAGGATTTGGAGTTCAGTGGAGTGATTGGGTCGGAAGGCGAACTGCTCGTCTGGAATGACTTGCAGTTCTTGGGAGTGGGTTCGTAGACGGGTTAGGATAATTTTTTTTACAACTTTGCTCATAGCCGGGAGCAGGCTAATGGGCCGGTAGTTGGATGGGATGGTGTGATCTTTGTTGAGTTTTGGGATAAGGATTATGTTTGCTGTTTTCCAGCGTGTAGGGAAGTGTCTTAGTCTGAGTGTCGCGTTTGTTATGTTGTAACAACCCATTTTGTGTAGTCCTCTTTGGGTCGATTTTA